AAAAACAACCCTTTAGAATTCAAACAGTACAACAGCAAAAAAGAAAATGTTGCTCTATCTTTGTGATAATTCACCCCACCCCCACTCCCTCAAAACAAATGAAAATATAAATGAATAAAAATAATCCCTTTTTGTTCTTCAAAAAATCGAATTGTTCAAAGTACCCTGTACTGTACCTACATATTATTTATACTCCAGTTCTGTATGCACGCGCTCAGTACCGTTAGCGACATCCCAGTGAAGAGAGATAACTGCTGCTTTTTCAAAATTATGTTTGTCAACGCACATTACCTACCTTTTTATGCGTCATGATGAAGGTGTGCGTGCGTGTGTGTGTGTGTGTGTGTGTGTGTGTGTGTGTGTGTGTGTGTGTGTGTGTATGTGTGTGTGTGTGCAAATGTGGTCTCGTTATCGCCGGCTGATGATTGAAATTATTTTGTACCTTATGCGTTCGTGATCCTTTGCCATATAAACTCAGACAATTGTTGTGAGGCAAATTCCAAAGTGACGCTTACATTAACATATTATTATATTATGGCCGTACTCTACGCATGTGGACAGACAATAGGAAAATGTGAAAAATTACCCTGAAGAAGTAAGTTAAAGCAGCCTATGCTGCTGCCTGATACAAGCACTAAGAAGATCAGACATGAATCTGTGGTTCACGCAGTTTTCATGCAGCCTACGGAGTATTCCAAAAGTCGCTCACAATCCTGGTTTTCCTTTTAAAAAATCAGTATCACTGATACTGGTCTATAATAATGCCCGAACTAAGTTCCTCCTAAACTAACCAAGCATGGGCTGTCTCGTGAAAACGTTTTTTTTTTTTTTACACATATGAGTGTTTCATGGGTTTTCTTTCAGCACTCAGTGCTTGACTCTTATATAAGAGTTTTACGGTACATGCAAAATAATAGTCCTAAGAGCTACAGATTACAGATGTTACAAGAGAGTATCAAATCCCATAAAAAGGAGAAGTGATTAGGACAACAGATATTTGTAGGAAAGAAGGAGCAAACCACACCAGAGCATCCAACAACCGCCCGCAGACTTGTATAAAGGTTTACAGAATGGTGCACAACATTTGGGACACGCTGTACATTCATATACCCGTCACCACGCCTGTATCATTGGTATTGGCAATGTTTTACTCCTCCATCCACACAATGTAGATCAGTTAGGAGGCAGGATGCTTTGACCCTGCATTTAACGCCAACCCGGGCTGTGTGGGTCAGAAAAGATGCTCGTGACATAATTACCCCACACAGGAATCAAACGCATGTCTTTTGCATGTAAATGTAACAGCAAAGAGCCTCACTATTACATCACAGATGCTAGTCAGCCAACTCGACCGTTTATTTCAAGGAAAACTTACTACCACTACCAGTAAAGACTGTCAAAACAACCAACATTGTATTATTAGTACTATAGCACCTTACCATCTGGGAGAACAAAACACACTAATATTTTACTACTGAAAAAACCATCTCGAATTTCAAAGGATGAAAGAATCACAAGACCATCATGATACCCAGTCAACATAAATGTGAAGACAAGAAAAAATTGTTATGAATACATGTCCCCTTCGTCCCTGCAGCTGGGGGGATGGGGGGGCTCATTGTTTGCCTAGGTGGGAGCAAGGAATAACACCTGCTGTGATTGATACTGCAGTGTCGTAAATGGCGATTTAAGCCACTTAAGTTAAAGTGTGAAAAGAGCCAGTAGGCAGAGGGCCATCTACCTGACCATGTAAAACTTTTTTTTTAAGTTACAGAAACACAAGCACATGCGTCTAAATTTTAGATCTTGGGAGACAGAGCAGCTTCTGCGCCAACAGGACCAATAGAGGTTAGGGAACTAAGCTGAAGAAAGGACTCTTATAAGGAGCTGAAAACTTCTGTCGAACAAGACTCTCCAGATTGCATCCTGGAATGTTCCCAAAATGCATGAAACAAGAAAGAGCAGTCACAGAGAAAGATGTACAGAAAAGTGGGAAGATATGGAATAATATCAAGAAACCATCCCAAGAGAGAGAAAAGTGGAAAGTGTTTGTTCATGACCTTTACCCTGATGCAGGTTGAGAAAGGCAGTCATGTTATGATGACATTTTCCAGCAGATTCTAATCTAAAAAAACAGCAATTGCAAAACAAACCAGCACAGAAGCAAAAACAATTTTATTGCACAGATTCATACCACTTGTGTCATTTCATCAACCATAACACCATTCATTAAAAGAAATGACTACTCACCTCAAGTGAAAATGTGCAGCAACAGATACATGCATGTACATGTATATATACGAGATATTCGTACATAAGACTTTTATAATCAAGAATGCTCTTCTGAGATATCTACAAGTCTAGGAAACTCCTAAACTAAGAAAATTATGGAGGAAATATGATGCTCACAAACAGAACAGATATATAACTAAACAAAGACTTTTGATGCTGTGAAAGAGGGATAAGACAAGTCAAGAAACAGAAAATAATAAGGAATTTTTCGTTCGCTGCTAAATTTCAAGATGCGAGTTATGGACATAGGGCTATTTTTTTTTTCTTTTTTAATTTAAATTTTGGTGCAGAATGGAATATGGAGTCTTGCCCATAAATCATGAACACTTAGTTCACATTTTGCTGTACATCACAGACCAACATCAATTTCTATTTTCATAATAATAGAGAGAATATGCATAGTGTCACTTGGAAGCCAAGGAGGGCAGTACAGGGGAAAGAAAAGAACCTATGCATTCTGAGAGTTTTTCTGGACACCCTGCCCATAACAATAGATGACCTAATGGCATTGCATAGTCCATATCATTTAACCAATGAGAAGTTAAGTGGGTCCAAAACCCCACTCCACTCAAAATGCAAAGTCATGAAATTTTGCTTTATTTCATATTCCATAGATTATGTTTTACAGCTTGAATTACACAGGCTTTAAAAAGAACACTCCTGACTTCACAGTAAACACCACATTATAGACAGAGAAAACAAGACACAAAACATGAAAGGATCCTATGAAATAAAACACAAACAGTTGAATGAGGGTGCTCATCAGGATTTTTCCTTCGAGCAACAAGTAACAAGTGAAAATTGTCTACAAGCCACTGGCCAAAAACATCTGAAGACATTGTGTGTGTGCCTGAAGAAAGGTCCCAGTTGTGGGCAAAACTATTTTTTTTTAGTAACAGGATGAAAAGGCAAAAAATAGTCGCCTGGTCAAAAATTTAGTTCAATCAGAAAACACACATTTAACCATTTCCTAATATAATAACAAATTGAAAGGATCTGATATCATTTTTAAGTCTATATATTTTTAGTAGGCCTAGTTGTTTTTGCAGCACATCATACTTCACCAAAGGCTCAAAATGTGCTAGAAATTGGGGTTTTCTCCAAACTTTGTTTTTACACCCTGTGTTACAAAATGTGGCATATCTTTAAAACTACTCAAAATCTTTTTCTTTTTTCTTTTATAGTGGAGGTTTTACGGCGCTCGCGACTGCATACGGTCATATGAGTGACAAACATACAAAAGACGTAGAGGAAAATTACAATTGTAAGGAATAGGAAAGAAAAAGCAGCAGTTCCCTGCTGCAGATCAGGCACAGTTATGAGCGTAACATGAATCAGCCCATTTACAATTCTACTGTGCTTGAACCCCTTTGGGAATGGCCTAAAGACACTACAGTCAGTGGCACTGCCCCGGGGGGGGGGGGGGGGGGGATAAAATTTGCAGCAACTGCAACCTTTCTCCAGGCACACACACACATATAATACACTTCTTAGTTTAGTTTTAGGAGGGGGTTTACAGCCCTCACAACTGCATAAGGTCATATGAGAAATAATTGCAGACAAGGACAAAGTAATTCATTAAATGCTTTGTCTACCAGGAGCATAAATCTTACAAACCTGTTCATTCCATCATCAGTTTGTGTTAGGAAAACAATAAAGTGAAAAGAAAAATTCTTTAATAAAATCATTTCTTTTTAAAGTAGAGAAAACAAATGGCAGTAAATACCCATCACCCATCTGCGTCACGAACGAAAAATGAATCAATTCATAAAGGATCCAAAAACACTATGTGATCATCACAATCACTTAAAAACATAACTCAGTTGAACTCATGCAGATATATATATCATGACGGACATACACATGTAGTAGGGTGACTTGTTGGGGACATTGGGGACAAGTCTCAGGACTACACGGTTGTCGAAAACAGTGAAAAAGTTTACAAACAAAGGAAAATGAAAATGTTTTGAGTGACTAAAGGAAGGAACTGCATGACTTGTTTCCCCCTGTACAATGACTCTTCAGCTTCAAGAAAGTTCTCTGTTAGGCAACAAACAGTTCCTCTGTCCACACAGTAAGCAAACAACATGTACATGAATAATTCAACATCATTGTAACAGCAACGGCAATACAGGCTATATTGGTGTTGACTTTTATACTCTACAGGCATCATAATCAGTGTATAACTTATAAACAAATACAACGAGGTCAAGTCAATTGATTCTTGTGTGAACATAAGCAGACCTTAGGTCCAAGAGCCCATTTTCCTTCGTTTCAGCCAGGCAGTGATGACTAGTCCCATACGTCTCAGGTAAGTGAGAATTATGTAAGACTAAGGATCAATTCCATTTAGGATATCACAATAAAACAGTAACAATGACATCTTAGCAGAGACTGTGCTCACCATTTTGGAACTTCATGGTGACCGTAAAGATGGTTCCAGTAGGGAACGGGATAGAGGGTGCCCAAAAAGGAAGATGGGACCAACACTAACATTACATAAAGCGATCCTACATCATCACCACCATTAGATCTAAAATCATCACCGCTCTAAGATCAATGACTTACATCTCTAATCCAGGAATCTCTATTTGCTATTACAGTTACTTGTTTTACTAAGTATGCACATAATACACTATTGGACACTATCATACACACTTTTTTTCTACTAATCAGATAGCGTCAATCTCATATAAATGGGCAAGAGATTTTTTTTTTTAAGTTATCACAATAAGCTTAAGAGCTAAACAGGCAGAAAGCACAACATAATGATCTGTTATCTCTATCCAAGCTTATTTCTACTACATAAAATCTGAAGAGAAAAAATAAGAATAAGTCAGTTTGGTAAGTTACCCTTTTATCTCATATTGGTAGAACAAATAACTCATCATTGCAGTAACTCAAACATAGAGCTTCACTATCCTTTTTTGAGATAGTATTCATTTAGGCAATTTCGGCAATATGTGTTATTAAATACATCCTATACATGAACATCCAATATGACAAGAACAGCACTAGTTGTTGTACCAATCCAAAAATAGTAATGACAAGGAACACACAACCAAGAAGAACAAAATCCAAACTCTGAACTCTGCCTTTTTCTTGATAGCCTGAAAAGAGAAAAGAAATAATCATAAGGAATGATTTGAAAAAAATTGGCAATTTTGTGCATAGAATTTAATCTCTTTTTAATATAATTCAAAACTATCACAATACTGAATAAAAACAAAAAGATCTTGCATTTTCAACATCTTCAGTTGCTGACCATTGTCTAAAGCAAACAGTGAAGTGATCACTATAGAAATAACTCAAAATACTGTTGTGTAATTAATGCTCCTTTTTACATGTTTAGGTCAAAAGAAGATAACAACTATATTCCATAAGACAGCACACATGCATCAATTTGCCACTAATAAATGTTCCCTCTGATCTATCCTGACTCCCAAGTCATGAAGGATTAATCAAGTGTCTCAGATACTGTTAAATTCTATGTAAAAGAGCTGAACCCATGAATGTATTTGTGTTGACATGAACCGTACATAACTTTATGGCCTTCACGGCACATGGGAAAAGAAAAGAGAGATCTTCTATAAATAAAGCACTTCTTTACCTTTATTAGTATATGAATCCATTTTTAAAAATAAGTATACTATCTATAAAAACTGTTAAAAAATGTTTCTTTATGCAAATTCACAAATTTAAATTTAGTTTCCTGACAGGACAATACGGTAGTGGCATAGAACAAGAAATATAGTGTTTTGAATCAAGAGCAACATCAAATTCAAATTTTTTAAATAAACGAACCTCTCGAATTTCCTCATTGGCATCCTTGATGTTCTCTGTTGTGCCAACAACTGTAGTTGAAATCTGATTCATTTGAACATCCTGTGAGAAACAATTTTTAAACTGTAAGAAACACAGCTCTCTGCCACAAAAAGGCACGATTCGGATTGATTAATTGGTGTAAATTTCCGCGGTTAATTAAACAATACTTTATTGACAAGGAAACATTTAAGTAGATTAATTTTTTCTCACTATTTAAACATCATATTTAATTATAAATTTTCATGAACTTCTCTATATTACTTATCAAAGAATCATATATAAGGCATGGAAAGAAGGCAGACAAGAAAAAAACACAAAGAAATCATAAAAGCAAATACTCACAGAAACTGTATTGTTTCTGGAAAGGCTGGAGTTTTTAATGTTTGGCATTTCCTACCCAAATGACTGGTAACAGAAAATCATAGCTCTAGGTACATTTTTCCACAAATAGGCATGCAAAATCACTATAGCATATATAATAGGTCGATTATTGACAAAATAAGCTGATAAGAAACTACAGTAAATTACCTGTTCAAGGATTTTTTCAGTAAAGATCTCCTGAAGTTTTGCAATTTCTACAACTTGCCCCTCTATGTGCCTAAAAAGACATTGAGATAAAAATATATATATAAATTTTTTTTTTTCAAAGAATAAATAGAAGGAAGATTAACATCAGCATAGTGAGAAGTCAACACAAACATTGTACACAGCAAATTACGTGCTATTAAATAATGTAAGAGTGAATCTTTCTCCTACAGAATACCTTGCAATGTCACCACAAAGAGCATTATCTTAATCCTTTGAGCCCTGACCTCCTGAGGCTACTGTACCCTCTGCCTGAGCTCCAGAGCGATAAATTACTAATTCATATGATCATCAAAATCACATTCTAAATCCCACTCAGGGTAGTTTTTGTCAATGCCAGCATTTAATTCAGAAAGATCTAATAAAAAATCAGTAATATTTTGTGTAGTAAACACTGTTTTCCGTATGTGCGTTGTCTCAGGAAGGCTGGGTTGGGGATTAGCTCACCAATACACTAGTGGCGAGGCATACAAACAGTTTGTACCGGTGCCAAGGGCTCAAAGGGTTAATCAACAAATGAAAGACAAATTCAAACCCTACTTTTTTTTCCCATTTATTTTACATCAGTAGGTACTCCCAGTCCAGTACTTCTTCCTGCCCATTACACAACTTTTGAAATCAAATGGAGATTTGTCAGCTTTAAAAGTACCTGATTACTTCAACAGTTATTGAAAACTCATGTTTCAAATAAGTCACAGACACAGCTTTAACTATCACATTAGAAGTCACAAACACAGCTTTAACTATCACATTAGAAGTCACAGACACAGCTTTAACTATCACATTAGAAGTCACAGACACAGCTTTAACTATCACATTAGAAGTCACAGACACAGCTTTAACTATCACATTAGAAGTCACAGACACAGCTTTAACTATCACATTAGAAGTCACAGACACAGCTTTAACTATCACATTAGACTTAAGCAGAGCTATTCCAGGCTTTCACTGTGATAATCTTGGTTAAAACTATGGGAACTCCTGTATATAACTTACAGCTGACAGGCAGGAAACCAAAAAGGGATAATGTCATTAAGAACAAGAAAATAAAAAAGAACATACTTGACTTCTTCCGCCATGCTGTTCATCTCTTCATACAAAGCTTTATTCTCTTGCTCAAACTGAGGAAAATTGTATTAGAAGGAGAGGTAAAATGTGATGGAAGGAAACATTAGCATTGACACTCCATCATCTAAAAAAACAACTTCATAATTGCATACTGAAATGAGGAGACTATACTAGCAATAAACAATCTTTTTGTGACCATCCAGTACATAAACACTACAATCATATGAGAATCCATACAATACACACAACTGCATCAACTCAAGTGGAAACAGGAAACAAAAAATGTGAGACGTTTACACAGTGAATGTTAGGAAAAGTGGTGCAGAAGGTAAAATTTATAACCCATGGCAGACAGTGGATTGTGAAATGTATGTGTAAGATTTGATGGATCGCAGCATAGACAAATATATATGTGCTATTAGATGAATACTGGTACAGCCAAAGATAATAAAGTTCTCATTTGTCTAATAGTTTCTAAACACAACTTAATTGTCACTAAATTTTTAGATCCAAACTGGAGAACAAACATAAAAGCAGCAATAATCTTCTATATGGACATTACATTCTATATCACAAAATGTTCTCGAACCACTCTGTATAAATATAATGGAAGTTACCAGCTGAGCTTCCTCTGGACTGATCTCCTCCTCCTCATTATAAGATGGAGCCTCATCAAATAACGGTGCTGGCTGCTGCTTCCTTCTTTCTTGCACTGGTGCTATCTCTGAACCTATGGAATGAGATAGCATGACGACTGCTCACTATAAGATTCCGTCAAGCGTCACTTTTTAAAATGGCATAGGACAGAGTCTATTACAAAGCAGTCGATCACACTCGGTACTTGGTGATTATATATCTCTCCTTTCATGATCGTATCAAGAGCTAACTTTTCTGAGGCAAGATTAACAGAGCACTATAAAGTAAAATGCCATCCCTCATATCGACTTAATGCAAGACTGTCATATGCCATTTTGAAAAGTGATGCATGATGGAGTCTTACACTGTGCGGTTGATATGGACATTAAAAAATTAACCCTTTCAGTGCCATCACTAAAACATATCCTGTGCAGTGACAAATGATAAATGCAGTGGCCTCCGCCTAAAATCCCACTGCTCATGATCCCATCTCGCTTAAGACACTCTCATTTTGAGAGTAAGTGGAGATGAAATGAGGTGACAGACCAGGACTAAAGAACCGAGAAGAAAGAGAAAAGAGAAAATTTTAGAGAAGAAAATTTTCGTTATTGTCAGTTATTGAACCCGGGACCTGTTAAATGAGTGGCGAACACCATTCATCTCGACCACGAGAGTCTCCATCATTTTACCCAGTGTGGACCTGACTATGAGTCACCCTGGTTTCTTCCTCCCCACGATCCAGGTAAGATCCTCTTCACCAAAGATCCCGCATTTTCCTTGCTCCCAAACACCAGGATCTAAGCCAGGGGCTACTTTATAATTCTTCATTCTCAGCCTATCAATACAATGTGGGCATGGAACTCAATAAATACCAAAAGGTTTGCTAGAAGTTGTTTTTCCTTTCAAACAGGTTTTAATACATGGCACAAAATATCATTCAGCTTCATGTATTCAACAAGGAACAACAAAACAAGCAGGCCATATCCATTTAAGTAGTACCTGAGTTTTCTGAAGGGTCAACATTTTCCTTCTCTGTGGAATCTTGATCAATATTCAAGTTTTTCTTTAACTGTTGTCTGGACAAGTGGTTATACTTTCTCTCCGGCTCAAGCTTTGAGCTGAAAACCATTGACAAAGAAACATCATTAGAAATTACATTTTGTTTGCTAAAAGAAAATAGACTGTAAGAGACTACAATACCTTTAAAGACAAAGATAGGGAGATGCACTTCTATGAAAGTAGAATACAATTACACAAGACATGTTTATATATAATTGCACAAAACAAAACTTTGTTGTGTCAAATGCCTATAACTTTAGCAGCATTCCAAATAATGCTTCTGTAAGTTTTCCATTGAATTACAAGGAAGAAAAAGATGAGATACACATCTAAGACTAGTCTATCATTATAAGACAGGCCAACTTGCAAATAGTAAATAATGAATATCAGAGAGAGAAAAAAGAAACAGATTACGTAAAAGACAACATAGACACTTAAAGAAATAATTTTTAACTTATCGCTTGACCTTACAAAAGCTGTATAATATTATAACGGAAAAGAAGGTAATGTGAATGTACATTTCTAAGTAAAAGCAAATGTTTACTCACATTCTTTTCCTGTCAACAACACGCTTTACACGGACTGCTTTCTGTTCACTGTAGACTTTACAGATGGCTGCAGAGGAAGAAAACATTATTTTAAAAGTTTGCAACATCACTAACAAGTTTAATAAAGAAATTATATGAAGTTGCCGGCGTGCAGCATTCATTTTGATTTGCCAAAAAACATCTCTATTTTATGCCTCCCCTTCACCTTTTGACAGGTTTCAGCATCACTAAAAGTCATATTTCTATCTTAAATCAGAGCGGAATTTAGAGCATATTCATTCCTTAACCATTTAATTACACCGAGAGTGAAATCGCGTGGAGTCTATCAATTCACATCTAGAGCGGTGTTGCACAGCGCTTCAATCTCCAACCGTGCAACACTGCCATGGTATACATTTCTATGAGGTCTAGAAAGAAGGTCACTTTAGAATTGACTAAAAACGAGGCGATGAAGCAAAAGTTAAGTAGCTCTTCTTTCTTTGAGTTCTTAAATGGTCAAAATTGACCCAGAAATAGTACATATGACAAAATATGACAAAATGGAAGGTGAAGTGGAGTAGAAACTTGGGCAAATCCAAACAAACTTTGAAAATACATAAAAATTCAGCCCAAGAAGCGATCTCGACTAAACAAAGACACACTGAAAGTTAATTTCTCTGTCTACTGTCATGTCATATTTTTAAGTTCCTAGAGGAGTTGGTTAATTAGACGAAATATATGGGTAACGAATGAAAACCCGATAGTCACAACTATAATGGGAGAAATGAATAACTTGCCCAGACTGTACCGCAACAGAAACTGGCTCACAAGAAGCAGTATTCTTTTCCTAATATATTTGTATTTTTTCCTAAATCATTTTGTAATGAAATAAATTTAATGATTAAAAAAAATATATATTTGAATGATATTTTTAGAAGATTATCTATCTTTCCTAGGATTTTGGGACATGCACCAAGAAAAATCTTCACAAGCTAAATGGTTACCCATTCATTTTCTAATTCTAGAGGACTGTCTCCTAATCTCAACAGTGACACCTCCAAATTGATCATTAACAGATGCCCTTAAAGAATATTACATTAAAAATATCTGAATAGGGTTCTTTAAAACAATTACATCTGAATGTCAAAAGAACACAGTATAGACTAGCTGCAACACTTGGAAAAGAATCATAAGTAACAGAATGAGCAGTGCATAAAGCTTTGAAGATGACACTAAAGGGGAGATAACATTTAAAATAATAGGCAATGAAATTAATTTCAGTTTTGAAAAAAGGGGACCAGGATGTTGGTTTCAGAATGTATATATCTTAGCAGTAAGACAGTAGGTGAAAGACAGTATATTTAAGGAAAGGAAGCAAGCAGAAAATGAAGTAATAAAAGTTCTCTGCTTGACAAGAAATATTCTTCCCACCTTTAAGGTAGGAATCCACCAATATCATCACAGCATGACGATGTTCCTTTACTTGTGGGTGTACTTTCTGTTTATCAGTCTCTACTCTGAAGACGACAATGGTGTCTCGACAAGACTTTATTATCTCCTGCGCATCATTATCAATTTGATCACGTTCGGATTCCGACATTCCACTGCCCTGAGCTGACAGAAGGCTAAAAAGAAAAAGAAGTAACATGTTCAGTTAGTGTCAACATGTCTAGAAACATAGTGAAAGGTGACTCTTGTAGTTGAATAATTAATTCTCTCTCTAAAACAAATAAATGTATTATGCTCAATTATTTCTTTTAATAAATGCCATTACTGCAAGTCAAACAAAGCAATATCATGGTTAAGTGCACAAAATCAGTTAATGCTGACATTGAAAGTATTTCATACACGTCTCTCTGTTCATTTCGGCACAAAAATTAAGTTATTTTCACAAAACCAATCAAATAGGTTTTATTTCAGTGGATATCATCACTGACAGTTTATTTCAAGTAGACAAAATCATATTTTCAACTTTTCTACACAAGCATACAAGTATATAAAAAAGTGAACAAACCTTCCAGAGTTGACATAACTTTTTCTGTTCTCCAGCAGAAAATCTCTAAGTTTGGTAATGGTCTTCACCTGTGGAAGTAAAAGTAGAAAAATTTTTTTAAATAAAAATTATACAACACTGTGTTGCCAATACAAAGTGGACACACGCCCTTATTTGTAAGTTTTTGTGGTAGTTTATGGGCTGTTCTAATTTTGATTTCATTTAGTTGCAAAACCTTTCTTTTTCACGTTTTTACACTCATCTAAAAATCTCTAGACCAGCTCTTGAAAATTGAAATAGATCTGGACCCAAAAATTTGCTCCTTCCCAGACCTCGCAGAATGGCAAAATGAAAGTTGGCGCCGAACTCTCACAAATAGGCAAAAAATCAAGAGACCGGAAGCCGGAAACCGTTCGGAGAAATAAAGATCGGTACTATTTCTCCGAACATTCGGAGAAATAGTCACTTCGTATTTTTAATATGATGGCCAGACTGACCAAAAAAAAAGGCCTAGAGAATTGTAAATAAATTTTTATTTTGCAGTACCTAAAGTATTTGAATTTGAGACGAAACCAGGTGCCTTAATGTCAGTGCATGTATTTTAAACCTGAATAATTACTGAGACCTGTTTTCTAACGCTAATAGGGCCTAAGATAAGTACGGCTAGACTGGCAGGCCAGCCGTACTTAAGTCTTGTCCTGGGTCTGTGCTGAGATGCGAATCTTATCAGCAACCGATTACGTCGGACGTGCCGGGCAGGCCGCCGGGGTCACTCAGTGTGTACTGTTGGTGTACAGCTTGCACGCCGGGAAACGTGTGTTTTCGCTATGAATACTGCGGTAGTTTGTTAATTGATGATGAAAATAACACTCTATCTTTCATAGTTTTCTATTTAAAAAGTGTTACAAACACATGAATAACCCCCTCTCACAAGCTGATAAGACACTACGAGTAGTTACGCCCATTCGAATTAACTTTTCTGGACGCTCTTGTTGTTATGAATGACCTGAGGTTCGAAAGGGGATAATTTAGGTCAATTTCCGAATGTTTTAAACTCAAATTGTTCTTTGTGCCCGCAGAATGGTATTCAAATTTATCAAACAAGTTTATTTTTTATCTGGTAGTATCATTTCATACAAAATCAAGCTCATTTGAAAGATTTTGTATTGAAAGAAGGAAGTCTTGTTTCCTGACTATCCTTTCGAGCTCCTCATGTCTAAGTGGGTCAATTTCTTCTATAATTTCATTGGACGAACATCTAGAGCTACCGACTTGGCATGTTTTGAATGAGACGTATGCCTCGATTACGAACCAACGCAGGCGGTTCTAGAAGAACAAGGCCACAAACGCACACAAGTTGAAGCAGATTGAAGCACACACTACACACACTTGACCTGCGTGAATGGGGATCCAACTCGGGACCCGAATGACACGTAAGATGATGCGCGCTGCGCGTGCGCTGAGCCAGGGGCTACACTGATTCGGGATCAGAACGTAGGCGAGGTGCCGAAATAGGCTTATCGGGCGACATAAACCCGGCTCCCGCAGGACCAGGGTTAAGGCTAGACTTCTTGGCTAGCCAACTAGACGGCTAGGCTAGCCGTACTTAAGGACGGCTAGACAATCAGGCTAGCCATACTTATTATTGATGGCTGAATAGTAAATGAAATTTTTAGTTTGCAATGCCTTGGCTAAAGTATTCGTATTTCAGAAAAAACCAAAAGCCACAGCGGTGCCTTACCGTACCGACTTGCAGATCTAGATCTAATGAGAGCTGGGTACTCAAAAGGCTTGAGTCGATAGGGCCAAACCTAGATCTAAGTACGGCTAGACTGGCCGTATTAGGCAGGACTGATCTAGATCTAGATCTAGATGAAGAAAACAAACCATTCCTTTCTTCGATCCCAACCGAAGGCAGCCGCATTGTTGTTGTTTTCCCTGGGCTTTTTTCTAGCCTAGCCTATGCATCAAAAGAAGAAGCATACGTACCAGATTTTTAGCTTTGGACTCAAAAGCACTCTCATGCTTCTTAGCTAATATGTTTGTCGGTACATCATCTGTTTTAGTTTCCGCAATCGATTTGTTACGAAGTTTCAAAGCTTTCACTTGCGCCTTGAAAAGGTTAGTTATATCTGCCATGTTGACGAGGCTGCTTTGAGTAGTGTTGACGTCTCCCTTTCCTCAACTTTCCTGCAGTCTTTGCAGTCTAGAATCTAGATCTAGATTTACAAGGCTTTCTACTGGGAAGTCTTCTGTGACTAAAAAATATAAGAAGCACAGAAATCTATAAAACAAAACTGTGATCGGAATTTCGAGCAATACAAACTGGCCTTGGACCATAGACTTGTAATCATCAAATCGAAACTTCGCACAGCTGCACTTATAGGCCTATCCAACCGGGCGTGGCCCTACAAACATATAAGCCTACTTTGGTAAATTTTTAATTTCACCCCCGCGGACTGATGCACTGCGTGTTAGGGGTCGAAATCTAGGATCTATATATCTCGAGTAGCCTCACTACTTTACTAGAGTAGAGTCTAGGGCGATTTTGCAGTTTCGTTCGTTAAAGTCAAGAGTAGGGGGGTTTCAGGGGGGCTTTCCCCCCTGACCTAATAAAAATTTGGAGGGGGGGGGGGGTTCACATGCCCCCTGAACTTTATCCTAATTAGATGTTTTGCAGTTAGGTTGCATCCCTGCTCTAGCCTAATTCAAATAGTATTTGGTCTTCAAGACTTCTGGATTTCTTCTCTGGATGTAAACAAATGGATCGTGGACTTAAACGAACGGAACTACAAGATCACCGAGTCTAGAAGATCTGCTGCAGATCGCATGTTAAAAAGCCACACTATATTACCATAAAACTGTTGATGTTGCAATTTATCAATTATTATTTTTATTTAATATGCAGTCGAACCTGTGCAAGACGGCCACCCATTGTCAAGGGGAAAAGTGACCGTATAAGTAAATAAGACAGGTTGCCGTCTTAGGCAGGACTGATCTAGATCTAGATATAGATGAAGAAAACAAACAATTCCTTTAGTGCGGTCCCAACCGAAGGTAGCCACATTGTTGTTGCTTTCGCTGGGTTTTTTTCGTTTTTAAAAATTTTTTGTTGCTGCTTTTGTACAAGGGTGAAAATAAAACGAAATGTGTCAGACAAGGAGGACTGAGTGCTATGGTAAAACAAACACATAATAGGTCACCACCACTCGGAGAAGGAGTGACGCTTCTGTCACAAGTTCATGTTGACGTCCATTGTTACTTTGTTACAGACTGGGTAAACAGTGACCACTCATCTCAGTTATGATTTGTCTATGAGTTCTGGGCGGGGCTTATGGGTTATGATTATGAGGGATCACACGTTTACCTCACCAGCAGCTGAAATTTTGTTTCAGTGGGAGGGGCCTCTATGCAACATGATCGGTTTGAGGGACTACCTGACAACAACAACAGGTGATTGGATTATGATGCTTGCCCAGAACGCCAGGGGCCAATGCACAATTTATGAAAAAACGTAATGAAGTCACTAAGGTAGCCATCTAAGACAGGTGTTATTGTTTGGTGTGATAAGGGTTAACTTGTGTGTTAAAATATGGTGGCCGCGGCCGTGTTGGACAAGTGCCCGTTTTACACAGTTAAATTATATCGAAAAAACGCAAGGGGGAAATTAATTAAAGTGGCCGTTTGTACAGGTGGTCGTCTTATCGAGGTGGCCGTCATGGCAGGTTAAACTGCAATTGTCAAGAAAATTTCAAATCTAAATAAAATATCAAATAATGGATTAAAAAGCACCCCCGTAACCCCCCACATATATTTTTACTTCAGG